ATTCAGCTGAAATTCGAGGTGCATCACTGAGTTTTGTTAAAACTATATATTGTTGTCAATGTATAGATATACTAAATCTATGGTTGGCACTATATTATATAGTAATAACGATGTAAGTAAAACACCAGTCACATTTGATTACATCGACGCGACTAAACTCTTAAAAGATATAATTGGGTTGAAGAAAGACATTTCAATTATTAAGGAAACCTATGCTACAAAAGATATGCTAAATAATAAATCACCCGTGACAGACTACAATGTTAATACGAAACGAAGAAAAATATGTCGAAAAAACAGTTCAGAATGTGCGGGTGATCCTTGTGGTATACCTTATATTTTACCAAATCAATCTGAATATGATGAGTTAACGACCGCTGAGAATTCTAACTGTAATCCTAAAGTCAATAATATGTTATTGAATCATACGTACATTACTGACTCGCCCGCAACGTCGACAGAAGATCATAACACTGACCCGCTCCTATCTGTCTCAATGCGATCAGACGGTAAAGCGAGTATTGAAGATATGCCACTTTCATCACAACCAGTACGAATGGAAGCCCGCACCACGGTTATGTCGACGGAAATGCAGAATAATCACACCCCTTTGTCTTATAAAGAGGCTACTGTGGTTTCATCGAATAAACCAGTTATTGAACAAGTTCGTAATACGGGAGCGGGCGATACTCATGATTATTTATATAATGAAATGGAAAAAGACGATTGGATATTAGTGCGTAAACAAACGCGTAAAAAGTAAATTTATAGGTTTAAAAGGCAAAGCTGATATACACGGAGACTGCAAATTTAAAGCAGCAAATATAAAAATCAAGACCAGATCAAGATGAATAAACTAGCGTATCAACATAGGAATAAAGATTTTCGTGGGTTTTGGAAGCATACTAAGCAGTTGAGTCCTAGAGCAGGTACCCCGGTGAGCGTTGGGGGTGTAAATGAACCGGCGAAGATAGCCACTCTTTTTAAGAGTCAGTTCCGGGTTCAGTCTTCTTTACAGTCACATGTTAAAGTCGATTCTGAGGTTCATCACCACACTGGTGCATCAACTCATGTGCCCGATCGCATCACCGCCAGGGACATCGCTGTTTTGATAAATGGCATGACTGGAGGAAAGTCACCTGGTCACGATTGCCTTAGCATCGAGCACTTTCAGTTCGCTGGTCCGCACTTACCTAGACTACTGGCGCTCTTGTTCACCCTATGTATGAGGCACTCGTATTTGCCGGAAGAGCTGATGAGAACGGTCGTAGTTCCGGTTTTGAAAAACAAAACTGGAGATATTTCAGATATGTGCAACTATCGGCCCATTTCATTAGCGACAACTGCGGCTAAGATACTTGACAGTATGCTTGAGAGACAGTTAAAAGTACATATTAAGTTAAACGATGCACAATTTGGTTTTAGACCAAATCTATCAACTGAGTGTGCAATACTGTCGCTGAAGCACACTGTGGGGTATTACACTGTAAGGAATACGCCAGTGTACGCAGCCTTCCTGGATCTTTCAAAGGCTTTCGACCTTGTCAGGTATGAAATTCTGTGGGATACATTGCGAAAGGCTGGTCTACCCGTTTCGTACATTAGTATTTTTAGCTATTGGTACGATCATCAAATTAATCAGGTAAGGTGGTCTAATGCACTGTCGGACGAGTACAGATTGGAATGCGGTGTGAGACAAGGGGGGATTAACCTCACCTACGTGTCGGCTGCTCTATTGATGGACTCTGCATGAACAACATCAGTTACGCAGACGACATGGTGCTTCTGAGCCCGTCAGTCTGTGCACTCAGACGGCTTTTGTTCATATGTGAGGTTTATGCAGAAGCTGTCTAAAATATAATGTTGCGAAGAGTGAGCTCATGGTTTTTAAGGTGGGCACGAAGAAACCGAATTTCGTACCACCTGTAACTTTAGGGGGGTGTTACTTAAACGAGTAACTGAATTTAAGTACCTAGACCATGTTGTTACCGAAGATTTAAAAGATGATAAAGACATTGAAAGAGAAAGGAGAGCGCTGGCTGTCCGCTGCAATATGCTGGCCCGTCGGTTCTCACGCTGTACAGCCAAGGTAAAAGTTATTTTATTTAAGGCCTATCCTATTGCCAATCCCTCTATACGTGTGCCTTATGGGTCAGATATACGCGGCGGGCATACAACACCCTACGTACACAATATAATAACGCTTTTAGATTGTTACTAGGGCTCCCGCGTTACTCTGCATCAGGACCGCGTTGTGTTTTGACGCCCACGTAGACAATTTTTAACACTAATTCGCAAAAGAACTGCGTCACTGATGCACAGGGTTTGTGGGAGCGCCAACAGTATTCTTAACGTAATTAGTGAGAAACCCGAGTGTACTTTTTTGAGGCACTGGATTCATGTCCATGTACCCATTACCTCGGACAGGCACCTCAGGTATATGAACTAATTTATTACCTAATTTTACTTACATATATTTAAGACTTTTTCTTTGTATTTTTAACAAAAAGTATTGTATTATATCATTATGGTAAGTTTTATTGGTGGTTTTGTTAATATATAATTAAATCGGATATGAGGTATTTGTAACGGTGAAATAGATTTATGCTATTTTATTATTATTAAATTATTATTTTATTGTCGATATTATTATAAATACTTACGCATTTAATATAATTAATATTAGTAATGATTTATAATTTTAGTATTAGAATAGAAGTTAATGTATGTTATTTTACCCTATGATCCTTGTTGATTGAAATAAATTAATAAATAAAATAAATAAAAACTTAAATATTTTTAACATAAATGAATAATTTTTTAAGGTATTACGGGAAAGTTGTGGTGATAAAGCGACAGGTTATGTTCAATTACGAAATAATCACCAGGAGATGTGTACTTTAGTATGCTATAATATTTTAAATTAATAATTATATTAATAACATTGAATAAAAGAAAAACCATTTCGTAGAAATATACAAATCTATTATTAAGTCTGTAACTAAGATTCCTCTGTTAGCTCTGAAATTTCAAGTTATTATAAAAATTTGTATTTGATGCAACTCATTACATTAATTTGATATGATTGATTAATATATTGTTGAAACATTCATTGAAACATTTTGTTGGGAGTTGTTTTTGTAGTACCTATTACGTACCGAAACAAACTAAATAAGACATTTTTTTACTTATTAAATATATAAGGTACGTGAGGGTAATATGATCACTTTAAGCTTTGCCGTCCTATAAACCCAAAACTAGGCGGAAGATACACACAAAACCCAAAGTCATGTACTATAACTAATATATCAATAAAAAATTGTAAATAAGCTTTGGCAATAATTAGGAACATTTCGATAAATCAACTTAATAAAAACTAACTACAATAAGCCATATTAAAATGGACTAAAATATTTACAACTTTTCATTTTGTCTTTATCAACTGTTAAAATCAATGATTTCAAAAGGAAGGATATGCCCATCTAAATATTTTACTCATAACTTTTCATTTCATTCATCATTCATAACATTTTCATAAAAGAAAAAGTAGCGCAGTTATTTGACCTGTCAAATACAAACGTCATATCAAAACACGACGTAACCAAGGTCGGTTTTCATAGTATAATTATCCTAACTGTACCATTATTTCATAGTTTGTAGTATATAGTATCGTAATAATGCTAAGCGCAAATACCATCATTTTACCTAAAGATCGACTTGTATTATTATTGGGTCCTTTTACTTTTTAATATTAACCCTACGATATCGAGAATTACTGTATTGTACATGAGTACCGCGTTTTTTAAATAAAATTAGAATTAGCTCCCTTTTGTTGCATCCTTGATACAACTATAATGAGGGGCTACCACGATAAAAACTCTATGCTCCAGAAGCCATCGGTTTGAAAAGAGAATTTCAAAATATTTTATGAATCAGATTTTCAGATTCAATTAAGCATATACCTATGGTTTCTTTTGTACTCTTTTTTGTTTTACCCTTATTGAATATAAAATATATTAGGTACCAATATTCAAAATTTAACTTACACAAATAGTTCTTTAGACAAAAATTAAACAAAAATAAAAATAAAACCGTCAAAAAACGAAACGTATATATAAACTACACGCGTGACGCCAAAATCCCGGCACATGGGAAAAAAGAAAAGAAACATGAAACGTCAAACGTGATATAATGTTTTTTAAATTATATCACATTTGACGTTTCATGTTATTTTATGTACATTATTTGTGTACCTACATTATTTTTGAGGGTCTGAATCCAACCCTGGCCTAATCTTGATAATGCAACTAAACTAACTGTAAAATAAAACTTTAAAAATGCATTTATATAATATGTTAATTGTAATAAAATTAATATAGGGTTATTTACCGATGATACGATATCCCATGTTTTTTTTTAAATCTTTGTATCGTAATTTTTACATTCTTTTACCACGCAACTAGACATAATTTATGACAAGCAAATCGTCCTGCGCGCGCACAACTGTCGGCCGATTCCCGTTGGCCCTAAACTGTAATTTTAGGGCCAGCGCACTGGTCCGTTTTAGTTGCTCGGTCGGCCCGGTCCTTACGCTAGTAATAAATAAGTCCATGATATTAACCGGATGACCATATTACCCTCACGTACTATATATTAATAATAATTAAAAAGTGTAAACCAATTAGTTAACTTCATGCCCAAAAATAACATTCTCCTTTGGCTACTCTTTGACAAATAACCCTGTATAATCTATGATTGGTTACCATAGTGATAATTGTGTACAACAAAGCCGCAGTAATTTTCTATACCTACATAAAAATATTAATTAGTATGTATTATGTCTACTAGTTTCGGTAGAGTCTATTCCTTGGTTATTTGCGGTTTCTACGTCTGGATCTTCCCTAGGAGTAATAGTTCTGTGGTGTTGTAGCATTCTAATATTTTTGAATTGTGGTTTGATTTTATAATATCGGTTAAATATAATTTTTAGAGAATGTGCAATGGAAGGAGAATTGGATTCAGATGTTATAAGAGCGACGCAATTATCGTTAGGAAAATTTGTGAAAAAACCTCCACTCACTGAAAAGTTATTAAAAAAGCCTCCATTTAGATTTTTGCACGATATTATCACAAATGTAAGTATAAAGATTGAATAAAAACCACAGACATTATAAATCTGTGTCAAAAACAAAAGGAAAAAAATATGGAGTGTAGAAGTAAGGAGAGCAATCTCTCATAGGAGAATAGTTGAAAAAGTGTCCATCTGTAGGCAATAAATAACAGTTCTAAAACTTTCCACAACAGCGCTGGAGTAGCTACGGAGATGAAATGAACTTAGCAGTTGTTGACGGTTTGAAAACTGCTCAGTAGCTCTAAAATCTAAAATAATTTTATTTAGTAAATATAACCTCAAAAAAGTCGTCTATCCCACTAATATTTTTCGGCACGTTCTTAAAAATTTAACCCGTAGCTATAGTGGCGCCACCACTATTTAACGGTTTTCTACGGACACTTTTTAATGCACAGTCTGTACTCCTTACCTCTACACTCCATAGAAATTTTTTTTAAATAATATTTTTCTAGGTACTAAGCACTACTGGATTTTTGGAAGGTCTTTTCGAAGAAGAGGAATTAATATCGGATAATGTAAAAGATAGAGAAACTAAAATACTTTTCCTTAATAAGGTCATAACAGTTTTAGGTAAGTAAAACTAATTTAATATATTTTAGCAATAGGTAGTTTTTATAACAATGAAAGAAACCAACCAACATTGATTAAGGATGTAAGAAAATCAATTATCTAAGATCCACATAATAAAATAAATTGATGTCTTACTTAGTTTGAAGAGCATCTCCCGCCCAAATTCAATTGCGTGCCGCTGTCCTCGTGTAGAGGTGAAACACATGTCGTATTACCGACGGTAGTATGTCTTTCCTAGTTTAGTGGTATTAAAAAGTGGTGCTGGGATTAGTGGTAACAGGGATAGTGCACACAATTAAGAGGAAACGGGAGGTGCTCTTTTAATGCGAGGTGCTCTTCTAACTAAACATCATTTTATTTTATTACGCAAATCTTAGCTAATTGATTTTCTCATTTTAATTAGGGCTGGAGAAATCCAGCTCCACTCCCACTACGAGAAGGAACCTGTATGGGCCGATAGGATTGTGGTTGTCTGTGACAGCGTTCCTGTAGCTTTAGCAAACGGCAAAGAGATGAATACCGTAAGGTTTTAGTTGGCAGCAGTCCGTAATTAAGCTGCCCATGAGTATTTTTCCATGTAAAAAAGGTACACATAACATATAACACTAGTCAACATCTTAAGCGTCGTGATTTTTGTCTTGTCTATACTTTACTTATTATGAGATAACCGTTGAGAAACATCATCTTAGGAACATCTGTTATAATAAAAACAAGTTGGATATTCATTTAAAGTCTAGTGTTTTATAAACTCGTTCCAGAAGTTGCGACACGTTGTGTCAAGTTGCAAAACACGTTTTAAAGAGCATTTAGCCGCGTACACAATTCGAATTCCGATAAATACCACTTCGATAAACATCTCTTGGACACTGAATACAACTTAGCCAATGACCACTATTTTGACTACATACTTGTAATAAAAAGCTACAACTGTGTGTGCTGGAACAGTTAGAGATTTTAAAAATAACGTTGCACTATTGAATGAACAAACAAATGTTTCTAACTCATGTCTCTAAAGCATCTTTAAGCCTATTTCCTAATAACATATAGCCTCGCAATATGGTCGTTTGTAACCCTCACGGTGGCCAGCGATTGGTTGCGTAGTTGAGGGTAGGCGAGCGTGTTTTGCGGCCGTTTGTTGTTGATTTTACAGCAGACGGCTGCATATTTTGGGAGGTGATTGGTCGCATATTTTATCGCATGACGTAGTCGCTTGCTACTTAAGTAGGGAGCGGTTGCGTCAGCGAGTAAAATATGATAAAAATAGCTGCAGTTTAGCTCGCCGCTTATTTAGCAATCGGCCACCGCAGAGTTTATTATACCCGAGGATGCCTCATTTAGAGGCGAAACACATGTTGTACTAGGTGGATTGAAAAGTACTCGGCCTAACACAGATCCATTCAATTCTAAAAATCAAATCTACCCATATTATTTAGTTCAGTTCAGACTAGTTCATTGTGTGAAGTTCGAAACGTGTGCGATAATTAGTTGTGATTTTATAAATTTATTAACAAAGTAATCGGACATAATTTCCGCGAATGGAGCAAATCGAGCAGCGTGCCGTCATTAAGTACCTCCATAAGAAGGGGCTATCATCAAAAGCCATCCATGATGATATGGTCAGTACATTAGGCGATTGTGCTCTGTCATATTCATCCGTCAAAAAATGGATAGCAGAATTTAAGCGTGGTAGAGAGAGTGTGAAAGATGAACCCCGCTCTGGAAGGCCTTCGACGTCAACTACTGACGAAAATAATAAAAAAGTACTTGATTTAATAATGGGAGACCGCAGATTAAAAATTAGAGAGATAGCCGAGATTATAGGCATCTCTTATGAACGAACTCAAAACATCATTGTCAACGAGTTGGGTTTCCACAAGGTGTCTGCGAGGTGGGTTCCGCGACTGCTTTCAGTTGAACAAAAAAGGACGCGATTGACTATTTCACGCGACTGTTTGGAGTTATTTGAAGCCGATGCAGATGATTTTTTGAATCGTTTTGTTACTATGGACGAAACATGGGTTCATTACTGTACACCGGAAACAAAACAACAATCAAAACAGTGGAGAAGACCTGGTTCACCACCCCCTAAAAAGGCTAAGTCGATTTTGTCGGCAAATAAGGTGATGGCTTCAGTATTCTGGGACTCGAAAGGTGTGATTATGATTGATTATCTTGAAAGGGGTCAGACTATAAACTCTGATTACTACTGCACCTTACTAGGTCGTTTACGAGAGGAAATAAAAGAAAAACGTCGAGGAATGCTCAGAAGAAAAGTCCTGTTTCATCAAGATAACGCCCGTGTTCACACGTCAGTACAGTCAATGGCTGAAATTCACAACTGTGGCTTTGAACTGTTACCGCATCCGCCGTATTCACCTGATCTGGCACCATCAGACTTCTTTCTGTTCCCTAACCTAAAAAAGCACTTGGGAGGTCAAAGATTTTCGACAAACGACGAGGTCAAAGCAGCTGTAGACGTATATTTTGACTCTAAGGAAGAATCATTTTTTTTTTCAACGGTCTAAATGCTTGGAAGGGGAGGTGGCAAAAGTGTATTGAACTTGATGGTGATTATGTAGAAAAATAAAAATATAACTGATTTAGTATGTGTTTATTTTCTTGGTTAGGCCGAGTACTTTTCAATCCACCCTCGTATTATCAATAGTGTTGTGTCTTTCCTAGTGTAGTGGTGCTGGTGCTGGGATTATTGGTGAAGGGGATAGTGTACGTAATTGAGTAAGGGTAGATGTTCTTCTAACTAGATAAGACACATGATTTTATTTTATTACGCGAATCTTGGTTAATTTCTCTTGTTTTAAGCATATTTCATATAATGGATGAATGGCAAAGTAACGCCTGATTCTATTAATTTTCTCCAACCCTTCTTCGTATTTGGGGGCGCAGGAACTCCGTACGCGCTACTTTCAGGCCCTACGAATGATGAATATATGGTACGATTGATGGACAACTCCACGAATCCACCGCTCAGGCTTCAATTATGATGGCCTAATATGCTCTAATTGGAGGTTGAAATATCTGACGTCCTTTCACTCCCACTCTCCACAGCCTCCTTCTGCGACATCACCTGCTAGCAGGAGGTAACACTGGTTTTACACAACCTATCACATCCAACTATAGTCCTAATCGTAGCTGGGAGCGGGAGGTCACGACGCAAGTCAGCACAAGCCGGCAAACCTCTACCACAGTGATGGTACTCGTTTGTTGGTTCTCTTCTGGCTATACGGCACATGTATTTGTCAAGCAAAAAGTACCCGCATCTGTTAAAAGGTCAATGACTCGTGCTACCCGTTTACATAAAGTGATACCAGACGAATAGCCTCGAAACTTCTGCTTCCTGATCTCGTGTGGGTCAGTCACTCTTTTGATATTGCACTAGCATTAATCTGTCGATCATGAAAACTCTTTCTCTCATTTTTAACTATCTGGTTGAGTGATGATCACCATGGATCCGGAGTTTTGAGTACTATATATTTTTTACACAGTATTATTGTAGTGCTACCGATTTAAAATATGTTACAGGTTTAATCACAGGAAAATCCTTGAAAGCTAAACCGTCTAAAATAATCGCTGGGCAAGAACCAGCAAACACAAATGAGTTACTTCAATGTCTCGGGGAAGCTTTGGAAAAAAAATTGTCGTCTGAAGAAGCTGTAAAAAAATACAAAGAGACTACAAAAATTACTGTGTCACATGATAAAAGGAATAAAGATGCTGTAAAAGGGTTAAAGAAAAATAATGATACTAAAAAAGTTTCATCAAAGGGTAAAACTGCTAATACAGGGAAAGATAGTAAAACGATTTTGAAATTGCAACAAAGAGATAACAGCATTACTAAGAAAGATTCTCCGCCTAAAAAGTCACAAAGTACGACAAATGTTAAAAAAAATCGGGTTAAAAGCCCAAAAGAACAAAAAACGTCATTATCAAATGAAAAAAAGAAGCAAGAAAAATCGAGTAATATTAATCAAAATGATGAACAATTAAAAAGTGCTGAAAAAAAGAGCACCGAAGATAATCCTCAAATAAATAAAAATCATGAAAGCGTTGTAAATGTTTTACAAAACGAAAAAGAAACATTGTTACAAGACAGCGAAAAAGAGCAAACTGATTTTGTAGATAAAAATGCTTCTAATCATATATCTGAAGCAACAGTATCAAAAACTACCGAAGAGGATCGAACAATTATTCTTAAACATGACGATGATGTGAATAATCAGAAAGATCTTGATATTGTACCCGTTAAGGAAGAACAAAATAAAAAAGTAATTGAAGAAACAAAAACACTTTTGAATGACACTAAAAACGAGAAGAATAATGAAATGGAAAATCAGAATAGCTCACGCACTACTCACCTTGATTCAAATGTGGTTAATATATATGAAAAAAGGACACAAAATGTAAGACCGTCATCATCTAGACCGGGAGCTCCAAGAGTAAAAGATAAATATGACGCTGCAGTAATAGGAAATGAAAACCCTATTGTGCATAAAGTGAATATTATAGAGGAAAACACATTGCCGGAAGAGGTTTGTAGCATCGTGTACAACATTAATAAATAAAAGTACCATTGAGCAATCGTTAAAATGAATATTCTTTTTATTTTAGGAAGAAGATGGAAGTATAATTATTGTGGATAATCAAGCAGGCTCAATTTCAACATCGCAAAATGAGGAACAAATGCAATTATCGTCAAATCATCATGGTCACTTAGTGCAGCAGATATTAGATTCTCAAAAAGAGTTTTCGCAGATATCTGGGAAGACAGAAATTGTAAGTCTATAATACCAAATTTTACTTTCAGTTTGTTTGATCACAGAAACTTAGAAGTTCTCACCTACTTATGGATATTGTATTAAACCCCATATGGAAAATATGTGTTTAAAAATATTAAATATTTTTATTCAACAACTCCGTAGGCTTTTAGATTAGTGAAAAACAATGTGATCAGATACTACGTTAAATTGTGTTTATAGTTCATAAAAGATAGCTTGATCTCTGCGACAGCTGTCAGTAAAAATCTCGCCTATGAAGTCCTGAATTTCTTAGTAGTACAGACAGTACCTGTCAATGTCTGTACTAATTAGTCCCTAAGAAATTCAGGACTTCATAGGCGTGATTTTTACTGACAGCTGTCGCAGAGATCAAGCTATCTGTCGAAGCTATATGAGTCGAAAGTAAGTCCATAGAAGCTGATCAATCGTAGTACAGTCCCAGTACTTTGATAACGTTCGTTATGTATCAAATGTATTTTGGTACGGTAGCACTAACTCTTACTTTCGTCTATCATTAAAGTGTAACCGTTAGATATTAAAAGTCTACGATTGTGTTATCTCATCTCGTGTTATTTCTGATTTCAACAAAAAAATACATGGTTAAAATTGACAAAGTGATTTTTCGTTAGCCAATATACTTAAAAAAATGAAAACTTATGCTACTTCGACATAGTGTTTTTTTTTTTTTAATAATAACTCAGATTTAATTGTATATCAGTCTTTACGTTATCAAGAACGCTTACGTGAATTCGTCCGTGAACGATTCTTTATGGAAATGTGAGTGAATATGGGACACACGACCCAATGATGGTGCTTTATTAGTTTAGATATGGGATGATCCGTATCTGAATGCTACCTTTAATGACATCTTATTACCATTTATTGTTGCTACCGTGCATGATTGTAACTTCTGCAAAAGTTTGCCCGGTTCGTTGTCACTTCAACGGCTTTCAACCATAAATACGGAAAGCTACGACGGTTCTCTGGACTGTTCGGCGAATTTCTTCAATTCGATTTTTATCTAATAGAAAAACCCATATCATAGTTCTATCAAGTATTTCCTGGCGACTTTGTGTTTGTAAAGTATTGCCGTATCGTGTCATCTTTCAACAACATAGACGGTGGAACGCATTGGACATTTGTCTTCAGACTTTGCACGACGAGAAAAACTAATGGAGCTTTGCCCATTTTGACTAAATCCTTGTACCGGCTCTTTTCAAAATTAATCTCTACGCCTTGGAGTTATTTATGATCTTCGTCACCTGGAGGTTTTTCATTTACATGCATGCATTTTGCATTTTTAAATTGACGAAGGGCTAGTTCAATCCCTTTAGAGAATTGTCTGGCATCTCGGCGGTACATTCCGTAGTTCTGGAATCGTCAAATTTATACTATACCGTGAGTTTTGATCAAAGCAAAAATATCTGAATTATTTTTATAGATTTTGCCTTCTTGCGTCTGTTGATAAAGATTTGCGACTCCTGCTTATCTTTTGAACAAAGATTGGGTGCCTGTTTTGCTCTATTGCTTCTTGTTTAGTTTTAGTTGTTATTAATTGTTATAGTTGCATTAAAGCGACGCAGGTATCGGAGCACTGCACTTTCCTCACACCTTGAGGCGTCTTCTAGAAATACAAATACATGACATATAGCTCCACTTTAATGAGCGCTTGTAATGACCCCTGTCGTTTCCTCCACTATAATGGACTGCCGACCTGGTAAAGTAAGAAAGCGATGGATACCTTAGGACCGCGTGTATTTTAGTGAAAATTTTGAAGGAGGCATATAACAAGCTGTTGGCTTGTGAGAGATATTTTTAGGATGATGCTAACGAATATATAACAAATATAATGAAATATATAATAATAAGTAATTATTTAAAAAAATCCAAATTTTGTTTTAGTACTTAACCTATTTTTTTCTTTGTAGGAATGGCAGTTTGGGGCGCAAAAGGCTAGAGATGTAATAAATCAAGAAATTGAACAAATACGATTTAATGTTCAAGCTTTATCACGTGTCAGTAATCCCTTGGGTAAATTGATAGATCACGTTCAAGAAGATGTGGAAGTTATGCGTCAAGAGCTTCAAGAATGGATAAAGAAATACGAAGAAACATCTAAAGAACTGATAAAGCAAAAGGTGTAAGTTCAAACGTTAATTGCTTAAAACAATTATATTTAATAATTTATTTAGATTTTATGCTATTTGCGATTTATATTCCTATACAGGATTATTTTTTCAAAGAGTATCCAAGTTTTATATTTAGATATATAGTTTTTGAAAATACGAGTAAATAAAACTTCTACTTTTATTTGAAATTATCCCAAATTGAACGTGATTTATGGGCAATGAATACACGTACGCGCGCTCCTCTGTGCGCGATTCAATTCACTACGTTTTTGACAAAACTAGTACCTACTACCTATGAAATTGCCGTTCAACAAAATATTAATTATTATTTATATATTATTATTTATATATATATAGGCCATTTCAAATCAAAGTAGTTTTTGTTTGGCTAAGAATTCTAATTTCAAATTAATTTTATTTTAAAAACATGGTTTTTTTCTTCAGTTATTTGTTTATTGATTAACATTATGTTTTCATCGCGTTTTTATATAATACTTATGGAATAGTAGTACAGTAAAGCGGCACGCAACATTAACGACGGCAATGGCAATGACCTTATGGAGCGAATACTACAAACGAATGCACCATCGCATCGTTTTATCTGTTTTGTTAATCGAGAGACCCTTAAGACACATTCTTAGTGTGTGTAATGATGGGTCAACTCGACTTACTAATTTGAGTTAATTCAAGATGCGCTTAAGAACTCTATTCACATACGCAAAGATAGGGGTATTCGAGTTCAATTCGAGTTAACTCGAGTCCAATTTCTTCCGAGTTGGCACATCTCTATACTACTACTATAATAATATGTTATGTAAAAACATATCATATTGTTCATCTTATTAGATAGATATATTTAAGGTCTCTGCCCACTACACCGTATCATACCATGACCGTGCTAGGAGCGTATCAGGCACGAAAAGCCGTGTTGCTTACTATGCCTACTGAACGGATCGACGGCGTTCTGTGCCCGTATACATCCCGTATGATGCCAGTATGCAACCCGAATGTAACCCGTATGATGCCCGTATGCAACATCCACCAAAACCAATAGGAATCCGTTTCATTCTCGCATGCGTGTTGCGTGAACGTCTTGGAGTGCTACCAAATTTTTGAATTGCTACCAAATTTTTGAATTGTAAAATAGATATGGCTATCAGAAAATTAACTGTTAGACAACTGGCGATGATTGCTTTAATATTGGATGAGGAAGAAGAAGAAAACAAAAAATAAACACTCGGCGCTACTGGATTCACGATTCTATAAAAGAACGAAAAACCGAAGGAGAGTATTGGACATTATTCAGACACTTAGTTGAGGATGAAGAAAAGTTTTTTCAGCATTTCCGAATGTCTACATTCCAATTTAATGTTTTGCTGAAAAAAAATTGAAAATTATATTGGCAGAAAAAACACAAACTTTAGAGAATGTCTGTCATCTAAAGAAAAGCTTGCTGTGTGTTTACGGTAAGTAATACAATTTGTTCAATATATTTTAAATCAAACTTTTATTTAAATTCAAATATTCAGAATGTGTACTCATATTGTATGTACCTAAACCTATTCAAGAACATTTCCAGACTGATTCCAATCGTTAGTCATAGACGTATCCCAAGTCTCAGGAGACGTAGGCATAGTGGGTCGACGTGAAGAAGTCGATGCTGGAGATGGAGTATTTGCATATTGAGGTGAAGTTGTAATAAAACTAGGTGGTGCGAGCTGCTGTAACTCCATTTCGGAAACTAAACTGAATATTTTGTAACAGAAACAGAAACTTTTTTATTCAATGTAGATTATAACAATACTTATTGAAAGTCACTTTTTTAATTTACCACTGGTTCGCAAAAAAAAACCTCTGTCCTGGGAAGAACCAGCAAGAAACCCAGCGGGACTATTTTTTTCCAATAATAGCTTACAATCATGTTTACAATTAACAACACAAGACAAATTAGAAATAGCTTGGTAGCGATCACCCTTCCCAGGGGTTATTATCATCCATAAATTCCTCATTATTATAATAACCCTTTTTATACAAACTTAGTTTAATAACATTTTTGAATTTTGTGTATGACAAATTTTGTATGACAAAGTTGTTGTTTTGTGTTTTGCTATTGCTTGTAGGTAAGGTGAAAACTTTTTTACTGTTTCTGATATATTCAAAAAGAAACGATCTAGTTCATCGTGTTAACGTTGTTGTGGAATACTTCCTTGTTGGTTTAATAATCTAGACGTCAACACGCTCTAAAAACCTACCATTATCAGCGGATGCTGATAACGGTAGGTTTTTAGAGCTTTTTATTCCCTTTGCCTTTTTTGCTTGACTGTGTTGTGATTTTGGTTGTGTGGATTTATTGCGGATAATAGTGTTATCTTCGTTTCGAATTTCAATATCGTGAGGAGCAGTCACATCCACAGCATCAGTATTGTTAATCTCATTGATTGAGTTAGGGTTCTGAACTTCAGTTTCTGCATCTTTGTTCTGAGACTCTTCATCGTCGCTTGTCAGCTCGACGGACTCTAAAGGTTTTTTTTCAGCAAAAAACAAAGCAACAAACGACATTTCTTCCTCGTACTTCCATTTCTTAATGTCCTTAGCTGCCTGTCCACTTTTGCCCTTTTTCTTATTTAATGCTCTTCTGTATGCATCCCTTAGCCCTTGCCACCTTTGTTTACAAGCTGCAGCTGTAAAAAAATACAAGTAATAAGTATTATTAATAAACATTGTTGTTGGGATGGTTCCTTTACTCATAAAAATTAGCTACAATACTTCTGCTCTTGATTCCCCATGCCTGGCCTGACCAAATGATTCTTGATGTAGAGATTAAAAAAAAACATTTAATTTATAAAAGTTTTAGAATTTTGAAAATTTTAAAGTTGACTTGTCTAGTACCTATCATAAATAGGACAACTACCCGGGAGGTTTAGCGTATTTAAAATTACTCGTATAAATACGAATACATACATAAAACATACAATACGCACTCAAAACACACTATTAAAAATATATACAAACAGCTTTGATGTAACAATAATAATACATAATCATAAATACATTTAACTAAGTGAAATATTATAACATATAGTACAACTTTGACTTATTTGTTTAATTAATATTTTGTTTGCAGGTACTTAGCAACTGGTGATTCGTTTACAACTATTGCTTTTAGCTATCGTATGGTAATCAGTTCTGTGAGGCGTGCCGTGTTGGAAGTTTGTGATGCTATAATAAAAAATATAATGCGAGAAAGTATTCCTACGCCTGGCACAGAACAATGGGAAAAAATATCGAAGAATTCTGGAATAAATGGAATTTCCCCAATTGTGTAGGTGCTATTGACGGAAAGCATGTTATTATTTTAGCACCTCCAAACAGTGGCTCTTTGTATTTTAATTATAAAAAAACATTTTCAAGTGTACTTTTAGCTTTAGTTGATGCTAATTATAACTTCATAGGAGTAAACGTCGATGCTTTCGGCAAAGATAGTGATGGAGGTATTTTGTCAAAATCAAAAATGGGCAAAGCTATATTCGGAAATAAATTTAATATTCCAAGAACCAAATTTTTTCCAGGGAGTAATGTTAGTGCACCATGCATTATACTAGGAGATGAAGCTTTTCCTTTAAAAAAATAATCTCCTAAGGCTTTATGCATCACAACAGTCAATTAACGATGATAAGAAACGCCACTTTAACTATCGCATTTGTCGAGCACGACGTGTAGTGGAAAATGCTTTTGGTATTTTAAGTCAAAAATTTCGAATTTATAATAGACGTTTGCATTTGAGGCCAGAATTTGCGAAAAATTTTTTACTAACAACGTGCATTTTATACAATTTCACACACACGGAGAAACAGTAATTTATACGGAAACAAATACTCCTGTACAGTTTAACAACCTAAGACACCAAGGAGGGAATCCAGTTCCTACTGCTTTTGAAGTACGTCAACTACCTATTTACGGATTTCTTTCAAACGTCTCAAGGCCAATTGGATTGGATACCCATATAATACTGAATATTTATTATTTTTTACTACAATGTTAATATTACATTTTATAAACTAGACTATACTTACTAAAATAAAATGCCTTAACTACTATCTATCTAAAAATAAACTAACAAATAGGTTAACTAACCCATGTATTAAATTACTTCGAATAAACAATAATTTTATAAACAAACCTGGTTGTTTGAGTTGTTCCGAAATTTCCTTCTAAGCCATTTCTTTTTTCACACTATCCATATATTTCGGGTGTTGTAGATTATATAAAAACTCATATTTACGTACACTTTCTATTAATTTTTCATCCTCCATTTTACAACGTTTTTACGTCTCGTTAAACTGACAACAAATGACTAGTTACGGCAACGCGCTTACAACGCCTATATAACGGTCATCATATGCGTTTACAACCCGTATACTCGCCGGCTCGCCGCCTGCGCGCAGCGGCTTGGCAACGTCGCGTGTCATGCACAGAGCGTGTCAGCACCGGCAATATATTCTCGCCGAAATTTGTTGACGCTCCGTGCATGACACGCGACGGTGTTGGTCGGTGACGGAACGGTCTAGTAGAAACAGTGTCATACTTTTCAATACAAATAATATTTATTTGCCTGACACGTTCCTAGCACGGTCATGGTATGATACGGTGTAGTGGGCAGAGACCTTTATACTTATAAACAAGAATAAGTAGGTGCCTATTATTTTTCAGTGCCAATACGGAATCCCTACAGCCGCTTCAAGCAAAGATCAAGCAATTGGATGCAGAAATTGAGGAGAAGCGTGAGAAAATAAACGATCTCAGGATTGTAGTGTTTAAGAATTTTTATAGAATTGAAAAACTTCTCTCTAGTGGGAGCGTGCAATAAATCATGAATTGTGTTATACTTGTTTTAAATACGAATTAAATCGTTTAAATTATATCTTATATTATTTTTTGTTTTTATTTGTGACTAGGTTCTATCGTCTGTCCTAGTACATGAATAATGTTCTCCGTACTGATTTTGGCCCGATACGGGAATTTATGCACAACAGTCACGATTACGACTCTTTTTTTCTACAATGTCTACGGCATACCCGCCTCGCGGGGGCTAGGGCGGGTCATGTCAGACTCGCACTGACTAAAGCCCTGTGGCAATCCGCCTTCGCCGCATATTCGTAGGGGTGGCCCTTTGAATTCTGTGGAGAAACGCTTTCGCACAAATCCTCAGCCCCACCAGCGGCGACCACCCCATGGGAGAACACTCTTCGGGATCCGACATACCTTCCACTTCTTTTAAGGTAAGGTGTAGGAGGACACTAGACAAGTCCGGTACGTGGAGGCCATGGGGCCAGAAAAATCGAGCAATCGAAAGTACCAGCCTTCCTAACCCCAGGGGCGGATTCGGTTTATGGCTCCGCCACCAACCAAGATTCGACTGCGGAGGTTAGGGCGATACGCGTCTCGCAATACCGTCACTCTTTTCACTGGAGGAAAGGACGCCCCTCCCGCCGCAATCCACCAACGCGTCCACTCGAATCTACCTACGGTAGGTCCTACAACGAGGGCCAGTCAAGTGGGTGCCTCTTTATTCACCGTGGGTGAGCAGGCCACGACAAGGCGTAAACCCGTTTGGGGCTTATGTACCTTAGACTAACGAGGCTACCTAATCCTAGTATATGCATATACCCTATAATTTAGGTATAATAATATAATGAGCGACAGTAGCCTAATAGCAGGATGCGGACCGCGAACTCAAAAGGTCGTGGATTCGAATCCACCTTTTGACTAATGTGGTGAACCGCTCCTAACACAAGCGTTTTAAGCTTACCAGGAGTAGTTAAAGGGAGTATTAGTGAAGTCGATAGCATTGTTAATATTTAAAAAAAATAGGAATTCCTCAAAGAGTCGCTTCAAAATCTTCAAGAATCGATTTTTTATATCTCCCTGAACACAAATTACAATAATTACAAAATCCAAACACAAACATACTAAGTTGTCATAGTTATGTATAATATGTTATGGTGGCCAGACGCGGCCAGTTAAAGTCATCAGTCGAACTGATATTAGTTCGAACGGATCTAACCATATACACGATCAGTACAACTGATCATTCCAACTGATTAGTCCTAACTAAGACGGTGATTTTTTTTTAAATATCGTAGTTTTAATATATCGATAATTAAAATATATCAATGTTGGAGTTTTATATATCGTAAGTTAATATACAGTTAATCAATATCGGAGTTTTATGAATCGAGAAAAATATCGATATATCGGCTTTATTAAAAAAAAACAACAACAAGTCATTTTAGTTTAGTTCATTTATTATATTTATTAATGAAAACGTTATAGTCCCTATTAATTATTGTTTAATTTAAATAAGGCGATTATGTGTACCAATATTTTTCCTTAAGAGTCTTCAAAATACTCGTTGTTTTATATTATGTTCTGCTGGTAAATATGTTAAGAAGCACAGGCGCTACAGATGTAGCTGAAGAAATCAAATATTTAACAGCTATTTAGGCAGAACGGGAGTAAACTGTCTACCCAGCAGACAATCGATGACGACAGTAACTCAAGTTCACAAGACGCCTAACCGATCAAAATAACTTGAGGTTTATATTAACATCGAAGCACTTGTTTCGTAGTTTTCTCTAATAGTTTACACGCGCAGACACTTAAGGTTGCCCTAGTCGATACCACGAACTAAGTGGTAGGCGGGGTAAAAATGCATGCTATCTCAGCCGACATCACGTGCGAAAGGGATAGACGCTGTGATGAGCAGTAAGAAGCAAGTGCGCACACATACGCAATCGAGTGACGCAATGCGAGACGGCGTCATCGCGTACCTACCTATGCGATTCATTTTTGAATAATAACATAAACCCAAACGGCAGTTTGAGCTCCGTATCGCAGTGGCTTAGCAATGAGGCTGCGCTGAGCGCCGCGAGTTCGAATCCCGCACGGAACAAATATTTGTATGGCCTACAAATATTTGTTCCGGGTCTGAATGTTTGTCCTTGTGCAATTTATGTTTGTAAACTGCCTCCACGATACTGGAGAAAATCCTACTGTGGGGGTAACGTATTTTAAAAAGAGAAAGGAGAGAGAAAAAAAATTGGTGTTATTATAACTTAGGATCTACTGTGTGAAACGTAATTATTATTTATTATGAACCCAATTTATGTACTTAATTATGAAAGTTCTTATGTGAACTTAAGTAGATAATTCCATTGATTTGTTTTTACCTACTTTTTAACCGACTTGGAAAAAAGGAGGTGGTTCTCTATTCGTTGGTTTTTGTTTATGTATGTTCTGTCCCCCGATTTCTCGAAGATGCCTGAAGCCTGAACCGATTTGGAAAATTATTTTTTTGTTTGAAAGGATATATTTTCCAGATAATCCCACGGTAATCGATGATGGTCAGATCAGGATCTAATAATGGGATCTTGGAGAAATCGGGGGCACTCTTCAACAAATGACAGCAAATCAACCGCGATTGCTGCTATCGCCTATCTAAGCATTCTTTACACAATCACACAATATAATATCACGCCTGTACCCACTAAAGGGACATAACTCTCAACTAAAAACGGTAACATAAAAAACTTTTTTTGAAAAAAAATATAACAATTTCTAAAACAAACACAAAAAAGTGTAACATAATTATGTTTTCCTTATGTTTTTGTATTTTACTGTAGGTTATGCAAATATTACTGTAGGTACTATGTATTCTAAATAGGTATTTACTTACCATAGCTAGTTAGCTATAATAGCCCACAGGCAACTTCCCGAAGTATATGCCAGCCAGGGTCAGGATAACTGCTTTTTCGACAGCGCGATTTTGATGTGAGTGGGGCTTTTATATAAGTTAATTAAATAAATAAAAAATGTTAGTTTGTAAATTGTTTATTGATTGTTTGTGCGGCGGTTTCAATAGCGGTTTGAAATATTCTCTTAGTACTTAGAAAGTTATCAACAATAGGCTTTGTGTCACTGCAGAGACAAGCACAAACGTCTATCAAAATAGTAACGTATATAAACGGAATACTAACAGCGCAGACTTCCTTACAGAAGTCCAAAGAACACGTCTAGGCAAGGTAAGTAATTAGAAGAAAACTACAATTTAGAGATTGATTGTAAATCAAATTCACAGTACAGACACAATTAGCGAAATATGAATAAAATTTTGATTTATTTTATAATAGATAACGCTAGTTGAAAACTAAACACTGTATGGGAATGGCATCACTGAACGAGTCAGGTGGTCAGTCCAAACAAATAAAAGCCGCGATTGTAGAAAGAGATTCGTTACGAAACGTTTGTAGGCTAGGGGGCTTGGCCTGTTTATGCTATTCATAACGAAGGCTGTAAAATATGTAGGTACAACTTAGAAACTAAATCCTATGTGTACTTATCTGTATTCATAACCCAATATCTAAGGTAGGTTGATGCGCTCTTTAGTTTTTATATAGTTCGTATTATTCTGTAATAAATTAAATCTAATCCAAAACATACTACAATACCATAGCAAAGCTACTACTATTTTATTTAGTAGTAGCTTATATAGTAGTATAGTAAATTATATATATAAAAAAATATGAGGTAAGGTTAAATATAAACAAATATTTTGCTAAGTGCGAATCGGACTTCCGAGCTTCCGAGATTACAAGATTTAAATACCTGTACATATTACTATCGATCAAAAAAGCCAAAAATACACGTTTCTTTTTCTAGTAGAAAATCCTTTAATTTCAAATTTATTTTTACCACTTGCTGTTATAGCGGCAACAGAAATACACGTTCTGTAAAAATTACAACCATCTACCTGTTACGGATCATGAGATGCAGCCCGCTGACAGACAGACACGAACAGCGGAGGCTCCGTAATAGGGCCCTGCTGGTTACCCTTCGGGTACGGAATCCTAAAAAGTACTAAGTTGTCCACTCACATCTGTATGATTCTTTCTTCAAATGACACTATTAGCCTGGTTCTCGTATGACATGACCAATGTAATACCTGGACTGACCTCTCTGAGTTTGTTTCGGCAGATCGGGTGCTTCTTCTCAGTTTCAAGTTTTTGTTGTGTTAAAGTGTTTGAAAAAAAAAACAACTTACAAAACACATTTTATTTATCATTGACTGCGCTTCTTAGATTATTATGTACTTACATAAATTACATTAGGTATATTAGGATATGAGATTCCTATACGTAAGCACGATTATCGAAAATCTAAAAATTACCTATTCTAATTAAATTAATAGATAATTTTAAGATTTTCGATAATCATGCTTATCTATGAGATGTTTTCGTTAGTTAGCAAATTAAAGTAGTTACGTACCTAATGTACTACCTGTATCGAAAGTTCATTATTATGTACCTACCTGTTTTCAATTTTAACTAAATGTGCTTCAACAAACTTATGGCCACATTTTAGCAGCTATATTCATCCCGGCTTCAGCAATGGACACGAACAAAAGGAAGCAATTTTTCTAAATAAAGAAGTAGATATGTAGGTATTACAACCATAAATAGATAGCAGCGGCTAACCTAGTGAGTATGTGTGAGTGCGCGATGCGCCCCCCCCCCCCTCCGTCCGTCCCACTGATCGGGGAAACAATTTGTAGCGAAAGGCAAGATGTTTTATAACAAAAACGGGCGCGCGAAATTTTATAAACAGACCTTTGGTAGTGCGGATGTCACGAACAATCTATTGAATGTATCTGTTTAAAATAAAATTATTTGCATTTTTGAACAACTAATCTATCCCTGTATGGTAACTGTTTTGCAATTTTCGTTCTTCTTATGGTATTTATTTCCGCCCAAAGAAGTGTTAAAACTAGTGTTGAAATTCGGAATTTTCGACGCTTATAACTTCTAAACA